CCCGCGAAGGCCCTCCCTGGCCCCAAGCAGGCAGGGGTGGGGAGAGGCAGGGAGGAAGCACCTTACCCTCCCTCTTCTCCTGCCTCCTCCTGGCTGAATGAGGGCTGGAAGCGGGGCGGCCGGAAGCGTGGGGCGGGGCTTCTTCATGTGCCCCACCCCCCGTACCTCACCCGGGGGAACTGCGATCCCCCGCGATCCCCCCCGAAATGACCTCTGGTTTGCGTCCTCCCCCCCCCCCGGCCTTTTCTTTCTTTACTGGTGAAACAGGGGCTACATAGGATCGGAGGTCCAATCTCACAAGACCATCTCCTGGTCAAACTTAAGAGTGAGTTTCTCTTCAAAGTTCTGCAGCCAGGCTTCCGGGTTGCGGCGCTACGAGGCGGCGGGTGCTCAGCCTCGCTCCTGAGCACCACCAACAGTTTGTTGCTTTTATTGGAACTCTGGGGTTCCCAAGTTTCACCAGACCTTCCGGAGAGAGATCTGGAGCAGGAGACTTGATCTGCCCCCCCCCCCCACGAGCGACTGCAAGCGGGTAGGAGCCGGATCGTCTCGAAGTGAGAGCACGAACGAGCGCGGTCACGGTCCGCCATGACTGCTTAGTGGTGAACGCCCGGCAAAGAGAGCACCCTACCTCATCTCCAACATCGATGAAGAAACAGTGAGTACGTGTACAAAGCAACATTAAAGAGGCAAAAGACCCTTTGACTAAGCCCTATCTGCATCCACGAGGACGAGGAAAGGAGGAGGAGAATTTCCCATCCCCCTCTCCTTTGCGTAATTGGCTAGCAAAAGTACCAGATATAAAACTTTGTAAAGGACTACAAGTGGAATAAAAAGGGACATAAATAATCTTATGTGAACATTCTACTACTTTTATTGGAATTACAAACTAGCCAAATTTCTGGCTTCTATCAAAAATAAGAAAAAATACAGGCATCTTAAAAGGAACTTCCTTATATGGTAACAGACTTTCTGTAATGTCAGTCTTGTTTTTGAAGTCTTCTGGGCTCAGAAGGCATTGGATAAAAGCAATCACCTGGCCTTTTACTGAAAGACTTTTGGTTGTTGTTATGTCTGCTACAGCAACTTATCCAGCAATGTGGTTTAACTTCTAGATTGTTGACAGACTGAACTGCTTGTACTTTCTTTTGTACTGGGGTTGCAGACATCGCTTTTAAAATGGATTTCCAAGCGAGAAATGAATTAAAACCTCTAAACCCAGATGATACTGCAGGCGCTGAGCTGACTCAACTTTCATGGGATGCTCTTAAAAACACGATTCAGGACTCGATTAAGCAAGCATTCAAAGAAACTTGTGCTGAACTATATGACAAAAGCTCAACTGCTCTATTGAAATCTACAAGCAACTCAGACAAATTGCAGGAGCAACCTTTGAGAGAGACTGATCAAAACTGCAAGCAAGAGGACCTCCCTTCAGCTTACTGGAAGAAACACTACAATAAGACAGACATACTAAAAAAGCAAACTAAATCTCTTATGAAACGATGTTTGATAGAACCACAGAAACAGGTGTCTACAAGATCAATCAAACTTTTTAAGCAAAAGTCAACTCAGGAAGAGAAGAAGAATCTATTATACAAAAAAAAAAAAGTTCTGCAACCAGGGAGAGGCGAGTGGCTCTCCCCATGTTTGCAGAAGGAAGAGGTGATTCTACATGCTTGGGGAGGGGTGTGTGTGTGTTGTGTGACTGACAAGCGGCCCCGCCAATGCCTGGAGTGGAAGGAGAAGTAAGAAGACGCACAGGCAAGGGAGCTCCCCCCTCCCCCCCCAGCCACTAACAGGAATGGCTCAGGGAAGGGAGGTGGGATCGCCTGGGGAGGGGCTGGGTGGGCTGTTCCGGAGGCACTGCTCAGGGCGCCTTCCTAAGCAGCCGCCTGGAGCGGGCACCTGGAGCAGGAGAACCCAGGACCCCATGCACTTCGCAGGGAAGTCATTGCGCGGGACAAGGCATGGGATTCCAGCTGGGCACTCCGCAGCTCTGAAGGACACTGGCTTGCAGTTAAGTCGATGGGCTCCGTCTGAACCAGCACAGTCCGGGGCAGTGGGGGGAGGAAAGAATGTGTGTGGCTCCATACAGACATATCATGGCTGGCCCCCTGAGCAAAAAATTGCCCCCCCCCCCAGCTACGGGGCTGCTAGGATCCCGCGGTCAAGGGTATCGAAGGGCACAGAGAGATCCGGCAGAACTAGCAGGGTCACGAACACGTGAAGCAGCCTTGCAGTGAATCAGGCCCGTGGCCCCTCAAAGTCAGCAGGGCAGAGGCTCCCCAGGGTCTCAGGCAGAGGTTTTTCGCATCACCGACTGCCTGGTCCTTTCTGAACGGGCAGTGCCGGGGACTGGACCTGGGCCAAGCAGATGTTCTACCACTGAGCCATGGCCCCTCCCCTCCGGTCACACTCCCCCCTATCTGGCTCTTGGTGGGGTCATCAACCAAGGTGGCCAAAGCAGCCTCCAGGCCTGAAGCCAGACTGAAATGGCTCCAGGAAACTGTCTCTTCCAAGAGCCCTTGGAGCTGAGAAGAAACCACCCATTCTAGCTCCTCGCCCAAGAACAGAGACTGGCCTGAAGCTTTCCAGCAGGGGAGGGCTCAGGAAGGGTTGTTTCAGAACAGCTCTAATTGCTGCCCCCTCCCCTGCCCCCGGTGGACCCAGGGAAGCACAGCTCCTCCCCCGCTGGGCTGCTCCCGGCCACACCGGCTGCTGATGCGCCTAGTAGGAGGCCTCTTCCAGGGTGAGAGGCACAGTCCCGGGGCACCTCCCAGAGGTGGTGGCTAGGAACGGGCTCCCTGTGTCCCTGCAGTCATGCACACCACTCTGTGGGGAACCCCCCAGGGGACTGCAGGGCCACCACGCTGTGCACAGTCAGTCGTGGGACCCCGGCAGTTTGAGGCAACTGTGGGACCGTAGGCAGACTGTCCGCGCTTCTCCTTTGACTCTTTGCAGGCAGCCATCAATTTGGACCCAAACACAATTATGCCGTGTAAAGTTATGTAATAAATGAATAAACTCATATAATTATAAAGGCTATACATGTGCTTTATCCAAAATATAATAACAAATATAAATATGGTGAAATACACACACAGCTACCTATATACCAAAAGTCAACATTCAGTCTCTAAGATGTCTATTCCAGATGCCTGAAAAATACATGGCTATCAGATACAGGAAAACTTTCCAAATAATTATCCTGCTGTGTAAGAATGTTCACTTCCTCCCGGCTTCATTAGGGTGATGAAGCTTGTAATGGGTAAGGAGCCACACCCAATGAGCTATCGATAA